AATTGTATTTTAAAAGGAATGTCTGACCTGTTTAGGGTTTTCTCGTTGGCTCCAAATTCAGTGTTTTGAGTATCAGCTACAAGCTACTTCATATTGCAGCTCCTCCTTTGAAAGTTGGTTGTATTTAGAGAGAAGGGAATGTGGTTTGTAAGTGCAGAGTAGTTAACTGCAGCTCAGCAACAGAACTGCTTCAAGAACAAGCACTTCAGATGTTAGCAGGCACTGCTCTTCAACCTGTCCCTAGCGAGCTGTGCACTAGCAAGTTTGGAGGCAAATTCAGGGGGAAATGTACCTTTTTCTGCTCTTGATGTCAGAGGGCGGAGGTTTATTGGCCCCATGTAATTATGCAGCATGAGCTCACTGATGCAGCATCTCACTCAGCCTGTCCCTGGGGCATCCGAAGCAGCAGAGGCACCACCTGCGTCACCTGCAGAGCCACCGCAGGGGAGGGGAGCCTCTGTGGTGCCGGGGCGGGTGGCAGGAGCCTGCAGCCCGAGGGGGATGTCGTCCTACAGAGCTCTGTGCTGCTGCGGTGCCGAGGGGAAATGGTGCTGCTTGCTTTATGGTCTGCCTCTGTTCTGTCAACAACTCAGACCAAAATGCTCCTCTTGTTCCCACTGCCATCGCTTCCTGATGTGCTTCTCATCTCCAGCTGGAATACCTTGATAACTGCATCTTCTCTGTAACAGGTCCGGATCGAAGACGACATTGCAGTGACAGCCAGTGGAATGGAGCTGCTAACGTGCGTCCCACGTACTGTTGAAGAAATAGAGGCTTTCATGGCAGAAGGCCAAAGCAGTGTCAAGTCATTTGACTCCTTGTCCAGCCAAAAGCAGTAAACTGCAGTGGGATACTTAATGTCTCACGCTAATCAGTCATCATTCTGATTTAATGCTGTGGCATATAAAATGCATCTAATTCTTAATAGCAAGAGAAGCAGGCTGGCTATTAGCTGGAATGATTCACTAATTAAAAATGAAGGTAGAAGGCTTCAGCACTGGATATCCAGGTAAACCAAATGTTGCTGCTTGCAGTCAGCAGTTTAAATGACAAGTGCCACCTGAATAAACCCTGCTGAATAATCGGTGGGGCTTACACTTCTATCGGAGCTTAGCTCTGACATATCTTTCTTCCAATGAAATCTGAATTTTGATGATATAGACTCTTTAAAGTAACAAGTGGATTATATGAATGCTGTCAGCAGTTACAACAGTCTAAGTCATTTATTAAACTTCAGCACAAGTATTGCGAAAAAGAAAAAATCAGCTATTCTTAGTGGACACAATGACACGTATATTTTTCTTATGGATCTTATTTCAATGAAAATGGAGTAAACAGAATGAAATTTTTATTAAAATTCATCCATGGCATCATTTGTGTTCACAACTTTGTGTTCATTATGTTCTTCTGTTGCCATTTCCTCTTCTTTATCTGACCTTTCTACCAATTTGTGCTCTGGAAACTTTGACCCATCATTAGACAGATTTTTCTGCTCTGGATAATGGGTGTATTGATCCTTCACACACAGCTCAGTGCTTATTAGATTTATCCATCTATTTGTTCCTTAAAAATGTAGACCGCTGTGGTGTTCGTGAGCCTTAAAAATTTCAAGAAGGAAGTATCTTTGTTACAGGGATCGGGGTCATTTCAGCAGCATGTGCTCTGTGAAATTATAGTTCTTTTTAACTGCCCAGTGCTAGTAGGTTCAGAATTAAATAATGTAAATTTTATTTGGATAGACCACAAACATATTAATAATCATCATAAAGTGATTTTCCATTCATGCAAGATTTAAATTACCCAGAGAGTCCTTTCTTTACTGTAGGTGAAGCCTGCGGGAGAATAAATGCTCTTCTTGCATCATAAAATAGTCCTGGTTGTTCTCACTACATAAGAATAATCTTCCTTACTGAACACATCATGCTTACGTTCATTGCTTATGAATATGTGAAAACTCCTGTTTAGTCTTCAGGCTCTTTTGCACAGTTGGACTATGAAGCAGCTTCAGAGCATTCTTTCCACTGTACCTGGGGCTCTGGAGTCACAGCAGCATGTCAGAGCCCTTCCATGTCTTATCATTTGCCAAGGGAAGATTTTCCCCTGCGAGGAGATCTCAATCATCTCTGCATCTCCTGTCCTGTAGATGGTACATGAGCAACAGGATCTGGGGGCCTGCAAGCTCCTGTCTTATATGGGGTGTGCAATGCAGCATGGGCTTCGAAAGTGTGGAAAAGAACTGTGTTGCTGTTAGATCTGAAATAAGTTCTTTCAAAATTGTTAAACACATCACTCTTTCTGCTAATTGGGTTGATCAGAGTGACAAGGACCTGCTCTTCATTTCTAAATGCTTGGTGACCCATTGCCAAATAGGAAACTTGACGTGTTAGAGGCTAAAGAATCACATTCTGAAATAATCCAGGGGACGTTATAGGCTCATTTTTTAGTAGAGTGACGTTAAACATATTTACATTTTTTCATAGGTGGTTTGGCCGTGGTCTGTAAGAGGTAAGTACAGGAGGTTTTGAGCAAGAAGGGGAAGGGATGAGGAGGGAAGGACGTATGATCAGCAGCTTTACATGCAACTGTGCTAACACTTTCTCTTGCAGTGACTGGCAGGCTCGTTGCCTGAAATGCAGTACTCATGCAAAAGGCTCAATCTTTGCTTTGTTGAGAATAGATTTAGTTTGTGCAGATACACAAGCACAGAAACCTGCTGACACTGCTCCAGGCACGTCTCCCCTTAAACTTCAGGAGGTTTTTTCAGTGCGAGACCGTGCTCACGGCCTCGGCCTGCTTCCCTCTGAGTCAAAGTACGTTTCTGTGGTGTGCTCTGAACACACCCAGGAGCTCACTCACTGCTTTGGGCACTCTGAAACCTGCAGTTGCTTTGGTTCAATAGCAGTTACTATTTTAAAGTAACACTTCACAGATTTTCAAAAAAAAATAATTTGGAATTGTTTCAAGTAAGCTGTAACCCCAGTGTAGTTAATAGGCCTTTCCCTGCCTGTGATTAATCTTGGCAAATACTGGTCTCTGCTGCTGCAGAACAGGTCGAGCAATCTGGTGTTGTGCAGGAGGCAGAACTGGTTTTGCTTCGACATGTACCAGCGAACAGGAGCTCTGCGGGGAAGGCGCTCGCTCACGTAACCGGCTGCTCTTTTGTTGTGCTTGCCCAGGATGGGGAAGCATTGCAGTCAGGATGTGCACTGTCCTCCATTTTCCTTCCTAATCAGGCCCGTGAACTCGGTCACTAGAAATTTCACCCTTCCTTCCAGAGCTCTGTTCTGTAATTATGATAATTTTTATCCACTTAAGCAAAAAGTGAATTGGAATTATATTTTTATATTAGAATCTGTTGGGGGGGAGGAGGCAGGGAAGAAGGCCTTTAAAAAACGCAAAATGATATTTAATACATTTTAAATGTATGGGGAGGAGAGAATGCAGGTTATGACAAATTTTCTTTTTGGCTACATTAGGATTTGTTAGGCTGTTATCTGTATTTTCCCAAATGCCTTTCCCCCCTGGTGCAGACTCAAGTAGAGTCGCACCAAAATAGCAGAGTGCATTGTGTTGAGCAAGTTGGCTGTTTAAAAGGTCCAAGTAGTGAGCTGATATATTTAAATTGCTTCAGCTGCCTGGGGTTGGAGCCACTCTGGGTTTATCTGCCACGCAAATCATGCTGTTGCAGCAACGCAGTATAATTAACGTGGTAGAGCCTCCTAGTGCTCGTGGAAGTTAGAGTAGGGAAGTTCTCTTACAGTAAGAAAACAGCAATCAGGTTTACAGGTGAAATGTAGAGCATTGTAGCACTTTTTCTTGTTGTGAGAGGCACTATGTTCTGTCACAGACTATAACTGCTATTAAAAATTGTATCAAAAGGAAAATATTAGTTTTTATAGGACTATACTAAAATTTTCTTGTGTAGGTATGTATTTATTACAAATTTTCCTTAGGAAGAAAAGAGGTTCTTCTGAGTCGCTTCACTGTGAGAGCTCTCCTGTGCCTTACTGAAGATGCTCGGCTGGATGGGGCTGAGGCGCTTTGCTGCCAGTGGCCAGGAAAGCCTCACCTCTGCCTTTGATCCGCAGGGGGCTGAGACAGCTGTTGTGGCAGGAAGGGGTTTAAAATAACAGGCTCCTGCCTCTCTTGCAACCAAGCTCACACTGTGAGCAGATATTATTTTTTTAAAAAAGTAAAATCTCTGGTCTGTGGCCTCGCATGTTGAAAGTGACATGCTGCACAGTCTGGATGCTTCCCTAGGCAAACACAGCAAGTGCATGGACTGCTAAGCCGGAAAAGTCATTGTGCAAACTAACAGCTTTTTGTAACTCAGTGGTTTTGTTTTAAAGAAGGAAGTGGAACTGGTGATGTCAAGATGTTGAAGTGACCTACCCGAGCATTCTAGGTCTCCATCAAAAGTTTTATTCCTACTCAAGAGATTTAAGAAATCATTCATCTAGAAGTAGCCCATTTTCACCAAAATCAGAAAAGCGAGAGAGATTTGGAGCTCCTGGTTAGGTTGTCTGGAGAGAAACCCACATTAACCTGTCAGACCAATGGCAGGATAACAGGGCGATGTAGTCTCAACTCGCAGAGCAAATAGAAGAGACTAGCTCCTGCGTTTTGCACCAGAGCTTCTGCCCCTCTAACAAACAGGGTGCAGTCAGGTCATCTTTATCCTTCTACAGCTGTTTTCCCTGCCCACATTCCCACGACCTATCATAACCTTTTAATTGTAATACAGGTTCAGGAAAGGTAGCTTTTTTTTTTTTTTTTTGAGGGGGGGTTGTTGTTGTTTTGGTTTTGTTTGTTTTGTTTGGTGAAATTGGGAATTTAGCTAAAATGTAATTAGTTTCCAACTCTCCTTCCCCTGAATAAAAACCTAAGTAGAAGACAGTAATGGAGACTGTTGCATGGATTTCTCAGACAACAGCTGTTCAAGGTGGCCACCTCTGTATTTGAGCAAAAGAGAACAGGGACAGGAAAAATAAGGCCAGCACTAGAGGCAAAATGTTTTTATTAGATTCTGATATTTCAACCCTACCTATTCAAGCTGCAGCTAGAACCAAAAAAACGTATCTCTGTAAAAAGACTACCATAGTCCAAAACAATCCATAAAAGACTGCATCTAATTACCTTTGTATTAAAAATTTAAATTCAAAAAGAACTTTTAAAGGCTTTATTTTCTAACAGCATCCTCATAGAGATAATATCCAAGTTCTTTTCCTAAGTACAGATACAAGGCAAACAAGCATCCTACAAAATAATCTATGGAAAAAGGTAGTGTAGGAGGGAAATTAAGACAGTGTAATAATCCACTAGCCAGACACACAGGTTAAATGTAACACAACCATACAGTCAATGAAATATTTAAAAATGAAAATAAATTAAGGTTACATCAAAGTTCCTGCTTTACTTTTGTTGTTTAAATCCTCAATATAGGTACATACCACTGCATTATGGATCATGGCAAAGACTTATCACTAGCATTTTAAAAATTGCTATAGCAAAACTTTTGATGGAAATAAAACAAGACTGAAGATACTCCTTCACGCAACTCTATGATGGCAATAGAAATTCTGCTGAATCAGGTACTCAAACTAGGGCCATTTATTTTTAAAACCACTTTCTATACGAACTCAGCTACAAATCTGAACGCCCATGAAAATGGAAATGAGTGTCAGCAAGCAGTGGTCCATACATTCTGGCTGTACAGATGCTGCCTTAATCCTTTCATTGCTTAGCCAAGCTGCGCATTTTGTTCTCCCTGATACCTGCACCCCAGCAAGAATGCAGTTTTGCAGAGCAGAGGTTTTTGGTAGTACTTTGCCATTTTCTGAAAACCAAAATCTTGTTCTCTTAAGGCCCCAGAGTCACTGTGTGAGCAATGTTAACGTGAACACAGGCTTAAAAGACTTTGTCAGTGTGCTGCTTTACCTCTTATACTTGATTCAGACTATCATTTGCCTTTTGGAAGCCAACTGCCTGTATATATTATTATAGTATATTGCTGTTTTTCTAGAAAACATCAGTAAGCATCCTAGCTCACTAATACTACACCCTCCCCATTAACTATAGCCAGATATGAAAGACCTAAGTGGTGCTTTATAGGACTTGCTCTACAGGTTTAAAGTAGTTGACAGGACAGCAGACTCTCTCCATGGCCTTTGCAGTTTGTAATACATAATGGAGAAAACAACGGGCTTAAATACACTAAAAAGTATTTAAAAGACAATTCACCCGGTTATGATTTACTGATACTACAGTGAACCATCCCGATGGATTCCTCCCATTACGCAAAATATAAGAAGGTAAGTACACTTCCGTGAACATGTTATTTCCCTAATGCTAAGCTCCTTGTTGACTATGAATTTAGATCTGCATTTGTTAGACAAATCTTCCAGAGGAGAAAAATATTTAACGCTTTTAAACAAATAGCCTAAGCAGTTTCTGGTTTAATCATATCAAATCTTCAGTGTTAAACCTAAAAAGATCTCCAAGAAATGACGGTTAAAAGAACACATCTTTTCCTCAGTTACTGCATGGGTGGTGCAGACAAGCTGTACCTCGAGAGTTCATTTCATGAGGTTGCGACGGTGCCTACTGTCCGCTGTTCTCTGGGTTTGTTGTGGTGGTTTCAGTGCCAACAGGTTGCACATTGTCTGCGAGGTTGTGTGCGTGCTCAAGGAACAAGTCTTTCAGTACACTCAGCTCCTTGGTTAGGAGCTTAATTTTTGCCTCCAAACGTTCATTTTCTTCTTTGAGCTGGGTGACCCTCTGCAGCGTGTCTTGTGCTTTCTGCTTGCTTTTTAACCGGCTCTTTTTCACTGCCATGTTGTTCCGCTCTCTGCGCTGACGATACTCATCACTGTTTCTATCCACAAAGGAATTTTTCTTTCCCTGTTTGCTTGGAGGCACAGCTTTGCCTCCACCACCAGGACTAACGGGAACCAGCTGGGGAACCTGCTGCAAACCACTGGTGTGCGCCTGGGTGTGAATCACACTTACTCCGTTCGCATCTGTAGCGGTGTTCTGTTGGGATGTCTTGCTCATTTGGACAGACTCTTCTTTGACACAACAGAATATATCAGGAGACTGAAAACTGTTTTCTAGAACGTGTTTCCAGCGGGTCTTCACATGGATTAAGGGCAAGGTGAACCTAGTAGGAAAAAAAAATGCTGTTAAAGTTTTGCCGGGTTTAGCTACAGACTTATACATCGCTGGCTTTAGCATAAGGTACTGATGGTACATCTGGCAGTAACACACCAAAACTATTCTGGAAGTAGAAAAGCTGCCAACTGCTGGGACATTTCAGAAGCCTCTCGAACATATTTGGATTGGAAGGGACTGTTACTGGGTCATCTAGTCAAGCTGTTTGCATTGTTCACTGGATTTACTCAGTTATTCCAAAGCCATCCCTGATGGATGGGTGTCTAGCCTAGCCTCGAATATCTCCAGTTTCACAACCTCTGCCTTGGCAACTGGTTCCACTGTCTAACTTTTCCTCCAGTTATATAATTTTCTTAATTTTTAGACTGATTTTTTCCTTCTGCAGCTTAAACCTATTAACAGCCTGACTCTTGACCAACAGGAGTACTTGATCCTTGTCCTCTTCAGACCATCCCTCTGGGTATGTGCACAGACACATTCATTGTTGGCCTGTCTTTTCTCTGGAGTGAGTGTGTTCAAGCTATCCACCTTTCCTTCAGCATCTTCTAGTGCTTTTACCAGCTCTAGGACTACTTTACTTGTTTTTTGAAGATGGTGTCCAAACTGATGATTGTTTCAAGGTCTCGCTAGTACCCAGTGGAAAAAAAATAGCTGTGATTGCTGTAACCGGGTACCATGAAAGGAACCCCTTCAGCCACTAGGACAAGTACTGTAACAGCACTGCAATGAGCAGGTGGCACAGGAAAACACAGTGATGACCACGTGAGCATCACTACGCTTGAAAGCCAGGGGACTGTTGCCACCCATAGGGAGATGGGGGCCACAGCTGACATGCCTACAAGCCACCTTCCTCGGCTGTAGCTCTCGCCCCAGTCACTGCCCGCTCTCCTGTCCGGCAGGCAGCCTGGCCTGATGAGCAGGATGCCCTCTCACCTGACTCATGTCCTCCCGCTGAGGTTCAGCCTGCTCCTGACCTGCTGGTGGTACAAGCAGGACTCCACCACAGCTGCTGCAGGAACACGGCCCTGTCAAGGCTAAAAGCTGCTCCCCTTCTCTTCCCATCTCACAGGATGTGACCTCCTAAATGTCTGGGAGAAAAGCTTGGGGGAGAAGAGGGGAGGGGGCAATAGGGTCGTTCTAAGCTCCTGAAATCCCTGCCTGTGGCTCCAGTGAAAAGTACTTCCAGACTGCTCAAATGACTATTTGATTTCTTGTTATATTAAACAAAAGCATCTAACTGGCATAAAACAATCCTACTCCAAGATCTTTTTGTGTTACAAAGGTGCAGCCCCACGCTCTGTCACATGTGTACGTGCAAGCACACAACAGGTATTCAGCTACCTCCCTGCTTGCCGCTGGGAGGAACCAGGGGGATGAAAGCAGCTGCAACTGGTGGGGGCACCACGAGCTGCCCAGCATCCGCAGCGCCCAGCGAAGGGCTCAAAGCTTTACGTCCTAAAAGCACGGGGTAACTGCAGCCCTGTGTCCGGCTGCCGAACACGGTGAGTGGCTGTAAATGAGCTGCGGTGTGTCACTCCTCCGTGTGTCACTCCTTGTCCTGCACTCGGGTTTGTCAGCTGCTCGCTGCTCTTGTTTGTTTGTTTTCCTCAGCAGCCCGAGTTGCCACTTTACCTTCTGCTAGGTTATCATTAACGAGGTTAAAATGTTACTGTCTAGATCAGTTCCAGTTTGTCTCCCATAATAGGAGGGAGCCAGAGCTAGATGCAGTTGCAGTGTGGTTCAGTAAAATGCACAGAAAAGCCTGTTAAGTCTGGCTTGAATGTTACTTAAAATTACATTGTCATGAAGAAGTCTTCTCACTTAGTACAAGCGAAGAAGTGAATACCTGCACCCCTCCTAAAGAAATCGTTTCATTTTCATTTCAGGGTAGAAGGATACCAGAGCACATGTCAGCTCTGACATAGCTAAACCTATGTACATACATGCTTAACATTTGTATTTAATATTTTCCTGATTTTGGCTGTTGGAGCAACTTTTGCAAACCACATATAAGTCTTAGATTCCAACCGACTAAGCAATGCAGATCGGTGGTTGAGCCGAACACACAGCTAACAAGATGTCACTGTGCACAAATAGCGGCATTGCAAGGCCACTTACAGTAGCTGCATGTGTGATTGCCCAGATATTTTTAAAGTCAAGACACAAGTGTATATTCTCTTCTGGCTTTGTCTCAGCTGCAATTCTGAAAACAGGATTTTTGCAGCCCTCAAATAGTACAGAGTTGTTAGATCGCCTCCTGTACCTGAGCTTTCCCCCTGATTTTTGGCATGTTTTCAAAGTCACACAGCATGGTCTCCTGTCCCCTCTATTTCAACACAACAGTGCTTACTAACTTCATCTGGACAACCCAGTTTAGTAACACGTCAGAAACATTTTCACCAACTGCTTTTTGTGCTTGTGGATACTGCAGAGGAAGGGGCAGCTCCTGCCCCCCCAAGATGAAGAACCAAAGCGTCCCATTGCTCAAGCTTCTCTTCTAGCCCTGACTTACAGGGTACTCTGGACTAGATCTTCCTCAGTTCTTTCTTACTGCAGCTGACCCACTTTGTATCCAATAACTATTTATTCAGTGAGACAAGCTCTAATTTGGCCTGACGATCAACAGAACACTTGCCTGGGAGATGTGACACCTGGACTCCTGTCCTGCTCCAACTACTATTTATGCAGAGCAAGTATTACCAACTGTGCTGTATCACAGATAACCCCGGAGTCACAACAATTAAGGCTTGAAGCTAATCTCCCCTGGTTATCTGGAGGCTGGATCCACATCACCAGCTGTCAGCTACTCAGTTGGGCAGCGAGAGGGAAGGACACCCTGGTCAGCAGCGAGTTTTGTGGGGCACATAGTACCTGGGGAAGGCCAGGAGGCAGCTGGGGCCCAGGGCTCAGGTATCGTGCCACACAAACAGGTTGGCTCGCTGTTAGCCCTGACACAACAGGAGGCAGCTCCTTGGAGAGCCAGCTCGAGTTTCCCAGCATCTTGTTCCCATAAAGCAGCTCATCAGCCGGAGCTCGGTGCCAGCCCTAGGCTGGTTCCACCCAGCACATGTTAGTGTTTCCAGTGGCCAGTTAGAACTGCCTTGTTCTCTCCTTGGGCCACCAACTGGCCACCCAGGACACCAGCTGGCCACCCACTACAGCATAATAGCTGGTAGCTCAGGGGTGTCCTCACAGGCAGCCGCTGTCTGACAGCACTCCGCAGGGACTGCAGGCTCCCAAGCAAATCAAGACCTTTATTATCTTTGCTTTACCCCCCTAAAAAACTTTAGACTTCCAAATGTTTGCCTTGGCGGGAAAAAAAAAGTATTTTAAATTGTTAATTAAATCAGTGGTTTGTTTGGTTTTTGTTTTTTTTTTTTTTTACTTAGCAGCAAAAACTACAAAGCATTTCTCTCTACTCCTTCTCTGAGATGTGACTCTGTGGATTCTGTTATTCAGGACGGCTTCACTGCACAAAGTCACCCAGATGCCTCTACCCAGTGCAGAATCAGCGCAAGCCTGAACAGCAAGAGGTAGCCTCCCTTCTCTTTGACTTCCGTACAAATATCCCAGTAGGACCTGACTAAACCCAACCGCTGCTGCACAAGGAACAGCATAAACCTGCGGGCAGTTTGCTGAGCGCTGGGGGAGCCCCGTCCTGCAGGGCTTGCTGCTCGCCGCGCTCAGGGGAGGTGTCCTGGCCGAGGTGGCTTCCATCTGCCACCCGCTGCCAACCTTTTGCCTGCATTTTCCTCCTAACCTCCAATTACTCCTCGTGAAGGGAAAACCCTTCCTCACCCTGCACAGCGCGCAGCCCGACATCCTTTAAAAGAAAAGGAAAAAGGGACAGGGGGCACAGGGACCCGCTGAGCCCCCCCGGCTGCCCCCAGACCCGGCCCGGTCCCGTAGCGCTCCCCTCCCGCTAAAGGCGACAGCCCCTGTCGCGATAAGCCTTGCGCTGTCGCGACATGCCGCACCCCGCCGGGCCGTCCCACCCGGAGCCCCGCCCGGGCGGCCGCTGCCCTCGGGGCGGCTCCGGGAGCCTCCGCCCGCACCTGGCCCGGGGAAGGGGCGGGGGGGGTGGAAGCACCCCCGGGACACCCCCGGGGCCCGGCCGCCGCCTCCCCGCCGGGCCCGCAGCCCGGGGGCCGCGCTCCTCCCCCTCCTCCTCCTCCTCCTCCTCCTCCTCCCCCCCCCCGCGGCCGTGCGGCAGCGCCAAGCCGTGACTTCACCGGGGGGAGGAGAGGAGAGGAGAGGCGCGGGGCCGGGGCCGCCCGCCCGCCGATTGCATCATGCGCGCCGCTCCCCATGGCCGCCGCCACCGCCACCACCCGCCGCGGCAACGGCAGCGGGCACGGCCCGGCCCGGCCCCGCACCCCGCGGCGGCGCCCCCCGCGCGGCCGCCCCTTACCTGCGGCAACGGCGGCGGCGGCGGCGGCGGGGAGGGGAGAGGGGGGGGGGCGCGGCCGGGCCCGAGCCTCGTCGTTAAAGCGCCCAGCGCGGCCCGAGCGGCGATTGCGAAACCCGCCCCGCGCCCGCCCGCCCCCCAGCCCCCGCGCCGGCCAATCGGCGCCCGGCTGCCCGGCGGGGTGACGCAATGCCCGCCGCGATTGGCAGCCCGAGCGGCCAATCCGACCCCTCCTCGGCTTTAAAGGGCGAGGCCGGCGGGCCGCGAGGGCGCTGCGGGGCGGCCCCACCTCGGCGCCCTGAGGCGCTGCGCGAGGCCCCGGCCCGGCCCGGCCCGCGGGCGCCATCTTCTCACCTCAGGCGCCGCGGGGGGCCCGTGCGAGGCGGGGAGCGAGCCGAGGAGCGAGCCGAGGTTGTGGCGCATTCTGAAGTTGCGTTGGCTCTTCGCTCGTTTTTCCCCTTGTGAACACCTCAAAACAAATAAAAAAACAACGGCCAAAGGTTTAAAACAGGTTAGGAAACACCTGTGTGGTAGCTAAATGCTGTAGGAAGGTTAGGCGCAGCTGTGTCTCGTCAGAAAGCGCCTCACGTCTTGTGGAGGACGGTTTGGGCCCTTAATGCTGTTCAGAGGCTTTGGCTCACGTCTCCTGAGCTCTGCCTAAACAAGATTACAATAAAAAAAATACATGTTTGCATCTAAGTTGTAGGTGCATAAAATGCATCTAGTAGCTCTTTGAAGGGGAAACATGTACTCAAACAAGGAGGTGCATGTGCTTGCAGCGGGCAGCTCCAAAAGTCATCAGTTTGTAAAGTAAGGAAGTTGCGAGCAAGTTTATGGGCACGCGTAGTGAAAAGAACAGTGTGGAAAAAATAGTTACTGTTTAAATGCAGAGAGTTCCAGTCTGTGTTGTACCCCAGTTTAGGACATAGACCTACCTGTGGAAACTTTTCCTATGCAAAAGAAATGAGAATGATCAGATTTGTGAACACAGTTGCAGAGCTTGGTAACATAGATATTTGTATTTGCCATTTCTATGGCCGTCTGATGTTGAGTGTTTTTGTTGTTTTTATAAAGCCCTGTGGAAAATAAACCACATTTGCAAAGAATTCTGAGGATTAGTCTGGGCAAACAGTTTTACTCAGCTCATTACCATGAAGATACTGTTTCCTTGTCAGTCATCAAGTATTTGCTTTAATATCTCAAATGTTTTTCTGTTTCTCAGTTGAAACTGTTATGTTTTCTCTGGCAATGACTCATCCATCTGTAACTAGAGCAAAAATTCCAGGTAAGCATTAAACATTATCCTCTACTTAAAATAGTTAAGTAGGTGTATGCTCTTAGAGTGCTTTCCTAGGATTTTAGAGTACTTTATCACCATTTATTCATTAATCCTCATCAAAGAAAGATGAAGAAAATAAAATGTAGACAAACTCATTCTCATTCGGTCTGATTATTTTAAACATTAAAGCCCATACGTAATTCCATGCATCTAAGGAGCTCCAATGCTTGGTTGGCATTGTATCCTATTACAGGAAAATCATCACACAGTGTACTTAAGTGTTTGCAAGATAATATTTTTCTTTCCCACAGTAAAAATGGATTATGGTGGAAGCAATTTAAAAAGTAATCACAAAATACATGGACTACTGCTCTTGAGGCATGGCGTTGAAATACACACCTTATCTGCTTACTGCCACATACAAGTTACACGAGCTGTCATGAGCTGGACTGTCCCTGCTGGGATGGAGTCCTCACTCTGATTCTGGATGTATTGCTGTAGCAGCAGTCTGCCTATAAGACTATAGATAATATTGTAATAGTAACTTATTTTCACATGCATAGTCCAGTCTTATGGTTCTTTAAAGACCCCAGTTCCTGAAAAATAAAAATTAAAAAAAAAATCCGCATCTTCAAATAGTATCTAGCAAATCACAATTCAAGGCAGAAAAACTATTGAGGAAACAGAAGCTATCTATGGGAGTCAGAGGCAAAAGTTTTAGAGGGGAGAGGAACTTTGAGGGAAATATCCTTGTTTATTGCTTGTTTACTTAGTGCTTACATGTAGGCAGTTTTCTGCAGTAGAACTCAGTGTGAGAACTGTTATGTCTCTGAATCATTTTTATTGTCTTTTTACAATGTTTATGGTTGTTACATCTCTGTTCATGGGCAATTATTTCTTTGTCCTAAAATAAATAATAATAATAATAATAATTTAAAAAAAAAAACAATATACAAACAGTCTGGACTACAACCTATACTTTTTTCTTCTTCTTCTTCTGCAAGCATTCAATTATTTGCCTGCATGTCCCTCATGGATAGCCTTTAATGGACTTTTTAATTCAGACTTGAACATTTCAGTTAAACATTTACCTTTCACACATGATTTAACTGTATAGTTTTTCCCTTTGGTGTAATATCATGTCTTTTGAATTCTTCTAGCTGAGAATTTAGTCATTTACTTTCTTGTGATTTAGAAGAAAGAAAATTAAATATATATGTATATATATATGTATTTTACAAGTAGAAATAAATACCCTCCTTGGGTACTATTTCAGGTTGTGATATAAAGTGTGTTTGTGGGCAAATGCACTGAATGATACCAACACTTTCTGTCCTATTTATAGAGATTATCCAGAAGCTGAAGAGACAGATCTGTAATCCACCCCCAGCAGCCTGTTAGTGATCCAGTTTTAATCATTCAAAGAGTGCAAAGTCATGATAGAATAGTAAACAAATGGTTAGAAAGCAACAGTAGCAGTCTCTTCTTGTCTGTTTTGACATCAAGAAAAAAAGTTACTAACCTTCCTATTGTCAGTCTTGTTATAAAAGTTTTTCGTAGTAACTGCTACCCCTGCTTTGTTGAACTAGATTTGCTTGAAACTGGACAGAAAAACACTGTGGGATATGATCACATTCCTTACAATCATCAAGCAGATGACATTCGTTTAGAAATATCCTAGCAATACAAAGCCTGTAGTAGAGTTTTTCCCTAATCTTATTATTGTAAAACTCTCTTCACTTAATAACCATTGTATTGTGGTGTTACAAGACTTATATTTTGCATTCAGGACTGACCTGCACCAAGATGAAAATCCTACTGTTAGAAATGTCTTTCAATCTGATTCGATAATTTAAATGGTAGAAATTTGTCTATTAATAGTTCATTTGTCAGAGGTAGCCTTTTTGAATAGGTGAAGAGAAAGGAGAGGAAACATTGCTTACTGGTGATCGCTATTTCAGGACTGCACTTCTAATTCTAGCACTGACTCACTGCAGCCTTGGAAAGTTACAGTGCTTTTGTTCTAGCAAATACTAAGTAAAGAAAGGAGCCATTCTATTCAAATAGCAAACATTCATTTTATTGTAACACTGCCTGGAGTTCATTTACAGGAAAAATCCAATGCTTTTGTTCTTTCTCTCTATGCTGCTAATAATTTTTGCAAGAAAGTATTTCCAGTTTCTAGTTCAGCATCTTCCAGTACTACTTTCCTTATTATCAAAATATCAAAGCCACACAAATATCTAGAATTACTTACACTGGTTTCTGAAAAGAGATCAACTCAATTACATGTGCAGAGTAAAAGGAGTGTTTCGCCAGTGGAGGAGGACATAAAAAAAAAAAAAAAGCCAACAGCTGTTCCTTCTCCCACAACTTCAGTAGGCTATTGTGTGATAGCAAAATGAATCAGACTAACACAGAAATCATACAGTGCATTAGAGAAAACTAATGCATTAATGATCTTTTTTACTAGAAACCCAAACTGTTGCTGTCATAAGTGCTACATGCCATGCTTTTCTCTCCACCTACATTTTATTTTATATTTTATTTTATTTTATATTTTATTTTAGCATATATCCATATCATCTCCTGTCTTTAGAGTATTCCAGAGGATTTCTAAGAAGATGACCAAACTATTCTAACTGTATCAGTGACTAGATACTGATTAGTGTTCAGTAGCCGCAAGTCCCTTCCAAGCCAGTGAAGCTGCTGGACTTACTATTTGTGACCTTGCATTCAAATATCTGAATATGGAATTGGAAGCTTTCTTGTAGGTATTTGAGTTTGGAAAAAGCAAGCATGTCCCTGAAGAATGCCTGCTCTGTGGGGAAGCTCTAAGTGTGTCAAGTTAGTGATAGGACCAGAGGGAGCAGCATAGAACTGCAACAGGGGAGGGTCAGGTTAGATGGTAGGAAAAGTTTCTTCACCAGGTGGGTGGTTGGGCACTGGCACAGGCTCCCCAGGACAGTGGTCACAGCACTGACCCTGCCGGAGTTGAAGAGGCGTTTGGATAACACTCTCAGACTATGGTTTGATTTTTAAGTAGCCTTTGTGGAGCAAGGAGTTGGACTTGATGGTCCTTGTGTGACCCTTCCAACTCAGTATATTCTTTGATTTTATGATTATCCCAAACAGTTCAGGTCTCTGGGAGAGGATCTAACAAAAAAAAAAAAAAAAAGAGTGCCACATTCTAACAAGGATTGTACAGCTTTGCTAACCTGTGTTTGAACATTCTCTGGCTTTGCTCTGAAACCTAGTGCTGCAGTTAAAATTTGTGTACCCATTGTTGTGAATATCACTGGGGCCTGACTTGCATTTTAGCTGAACTTCATTAATAATTGTGCTAAGCTTAATGCAAACCGCATTTTTTTTCTGATATCTATAGAATGCAACAGTGGTTTTTAGACTGCCACTGATCAATATTGTTTTTTATTTTCATGTGCATGTAAAATGTTAGGCAGGGTGAAACTGTATAGTTAAATATGAGTAAAAACAAAGTAGATAAATGGATTGAAAGGAAAATGTTGTGTATCATCTGTGTATATATAAAATCTTGTTCAAAAGAGACTTGTTAGAACTGAACAAGTCTGAGCGAGAATTAATGGCCCACACCTGGGAATAAGAGGTGAATTCTCAAGTATCCAGGTTTAGTAACTGCCACACCTGTCCTGTATTCCCAAAAGCATAAATGAGGTCTGCAAGGATTTAGATAGCTTAGCTTCTGAATGCACAGTGCCATGGCTCTTTTCCAAGGCATCATCAGTCACCGCATGAAAATCCCCACCCATAATTACTAGGGCATTATTTGTCACGGGGTATACTCTAATGAAGAACTTCACCTTATTCATATGATATCAAGAAGAGTAAATAGTTTGAGGGATGAATTTTACCCTGACTTTGAAATGGTTCTTCACAACAGAACCTTAGAGTACCCTTCCAGAAAAGCACTGAAGTTGGAAAGGCATAACTGTTTCATCTTCAGTCCCATGGTATTGGGACAACAAGGAGCCAAACTGATTTTTTATCAGTGTCTTCATTATTCCCTGCAACCTATATATGGTCTCTGAAATACCATAAAAAGCACAATGAACAACTGTGTGAAAAAAGAAGACAAGAGCTTGTCACCTTGGGGGGGGGGGGGGGGATGAAGAGGGTATGGTCCACCTGCTTGTTTACCCTGTGTCACTTCTGTTCATACAAATGAACAGAAAGTTATTTATGCTTGGATGATACAAAATATGCAGGAGGGACATTTGAGAAAGTGTACTGGCAATTACAGAATGTCTGTCGTTGAGCTGCTGCTAATAATATCTAGGATAATTTTGTGCTAGATTATCAGTGATGGTGGTATTTTTGTCAGGCAGGTACAGTGTCTCCTCCCCAAGAGAAAGTAAAGGAAGTACTCGGTGCCATCGTTCTTCCAGAAGGCTGATCATCCGAGTTTGGTGAGTTAACTGGCAGAAAGGCCTTTTCTTTCCCTGGCAGAAAGGCCTTTTCTTTCCCTGCATCCTGAAATGGAAGCAAAAGTAACAGAAACAGTGTGGCACAGCTCTCTGCTGTTTGGCTCTGCATACTCTCTTAACATATTATAGACTCCCAGAGGAACAAAGCAATTACATTTACACATGCAGGCACCTGAATATCTCTGTCACAGCAAATTTACCAGATACAATCTAGCATTAGGTTTCTATTGAATATAAATGCTGCAGCCAAAACAACACTTTGGTAACATGTCCCAGGACAAGAGTATCACTGGAGAAGGGCTCATCTGATTTTCTCTACTCGTGATAGTAAGTAGATCAGAATTTCCCTCTGATAGGCAGTAAAAGCTTTATGTCCCCATGTCCCTTCCTCTCTAGTCTGCCCATTGAGGTCATGTTTCTGTAGCTCACCAGTCTTAAAAAAAATAATCAGCAAATCTCCGTATAGGAAACTGTCCTTGATCTGATTTGTTGTGCCAGGGTTCTCCTGCACATTTTTTTTTTTATTATTATTATTTTTTGGGTCAGAAGATTATCAGGAATTTTGCCTGAGGAAAGAATTCAGGATCAGTAATATTACAATAAAGTTTATGTTGGTGAGTCATAGGGGAAGAGCCTGTCTTTGAAAATACGGAAACAAAAAAGAGTAACGTGCAAAGAAAAGTTGATGCAGGCACAGAACACTTCAAAATGCTATGAACCGTGTGGTGCAGATTCTCAGTGGTGCACATGCACTTGCAGTCAATATAAATGCCAATAGTCACTTGGCAGAAACTGAGACTTACTCTCCTAAAGCGTCCCTGAAGACTTTCTCCACATACCCAATATTTGCTGAACATACACATTGCAAAGCAGATTTTACCAAGGTGTACACAATCCTAGAAACCTTCAAAGCTCCGCAGTGAGTGTGGTAACAGTTAAAATCATTTGTGCAGGCTTTTGAGTCCCTCCTTCAGGGAGTACAGGTATTGCTTTGAAGTCACCTACAGTTCCAGTGGAAGTGTGGTTTGGCAGTTGGAGAAAAGGACTTTGCTTACCAGGAAATGAAATTACTGGAGGTGCATTGTTTATGTGTACTTTTACCTCACATCATGTTTTTCCTCCTTTCTAAAGCCCTTTGACATTAAGGGACCCTGCAGGTGGGACAAAATTGAGGCTTGCAAAGTGTCTTCTGGTGTTTTCCTTCCTGTAAAAAAAAAAAAAAGGCAGGATGAGTGCACACAGGTGCATGTGTACTCCTGGCAGCAATATGCGCATGGGCAGCCAGTCCCAGAGAACTCCAGCTCTAAGCGACTGCCTTACTTCTAACAAGCTAATGTGGGATGTTGTGCTATGCTGATGCCAGAAATAACTGGAAAGCCTTGGGTACAAATGCCAATGCCTTGAGCACAAAAAGTTTATAACAAAACATTTCAGTTACATAAACACCATCCTAATGTGGGGACACTTATTAAACCATACTCTGTAGCATCAACAGAGAACACTGCAGCATATTCCCAAAGCCATCCATATGTCTTTGGATTTCATCAGGTGAAGGGACACTAGCTGTGGCTGTAAGCTTAATGGGAGTTCACAGATAGCTCTGACACTTCATACTATAGCAGCACTGGTAGCTGAGCTATGGGAAGCTGAAGAGCATGCATGCTTTTACTTAGTATTTGAGTGCTTTTAAATTGATTTCTAGAAAGATTTTCAGTCAGCTTAAAATTTGATACATGGCACGTATTCTGCTAATCCACCACCAGATGTATTTTTTAGCCTTAACCAAAACATGTAGACCCAAGGACTCACAAGTTTTCCAATCCTGCAAGGGAGGTTGACTGAATAGCTCTGACCTACAAATAGGCCAAGGGGTACTGGGGCAAAGTGTCACGTCCTGAATATTGAGTTTTCAGCTGATGCGTCAGGAGATATGAGCTCTACCTCAAGGATTACCTACAGTTTGCACAGTTAGCCTTTTCTTATAAAAGAGACGTATATTTGTTTTCCATAAGGGCATATTTTTTTTGTGTAACCAGTGGACTCAGCAGCTGAGTTTGCACAGCTATGTGCAAGGAGACCCATGGTGCTTTCCACTTCCATAAAAAAGAAGGAAAGAGGCCTTTAACTTTTGTCAATGGCATGCTGAGCTGGGCAACCAAAGTTTCTTTCAGTTAATTAATAAAGGAGAAAAGTCATTCCCTTGTGGTGAGGGATCTAGAGACACTACTGAAGATGCAAATGATCTCTTGATGGCTTAAGTTAAATGTAAATAATTCATAAGCCCTGCACTTAGCTATATAAATATTTGCATCTACTAAACCTTTCTAAAGGTCCCAGAACATTCATGATATTGTGGGACAGCCCTTCCAATTTCATGGAAAATACTGACCTACTACCAACTGTACTGTCTTATCCAACCCAAATACTAGCTGTGTTGGCTATGGTAACTGTCAGGAGTTGTTTCTCTAATAGAGAAATACATATTTCTGTGCTAAGTTAGACTTTTCTGTCCTCCTTTTTTGGCTGCTGAGTGTAAAATAGCAGATAACAAGTATGGATCCAATCCTACATTGCATTTTAAATGATTCAGCCTTCTAATGATATGAGTTCTGTGGTGTGCAGGTTTTTAAACCATCGTCTTCTTTTTAAAATCATGTATTTTATTAAAATAAAATCCAGTACTGTAGCACTGAACACTAGAACATTTCATAATTATTTTTAGAACCGTGCAATTCCTATTATTAAAGATCTGAAGTGTTTGCCAGTTTTTAAAAAATAAGACTTATTTTTCTAAAATGAATTTTGACTTTTCTGTGTTAAATTTTACTGTATGTCATGTTTACCACATTTATGTCAGCAATTTGCACTGCTCACTTTCCCTGTTAATAGAATGTTGGATTTATTTTTTTGTATTATGAGGACCTGATTTGAGAGCTGATTCCTTATTTTACTTAAACACAAGTAGTTTGCAAGGGCTTTTTGTTTTGGGACTAGAAACCTCTCAGCCTCAGCCCTGGGTTTTTGCTGAGTGATTAGCTTTGGTAAGACTTAGTTCCACTATTAACTGTATGGACCAGTTGTACATGACATTGTTGATTCTCCAAGTTGAGGGACAGTGACTTTTCAGCATGGCTTTATGAGCATTTAGATATGTAAACTTCTTGCAAATAGACTAGCACTGTCATTGGATTTTTACTTTCTGAAATATTTTTGCAAACAAAAAAAAAACATTTTTATGCTTCTGTGAAATGAATGAAAAATATGATGGTGTCCATCAGAAGAAGCCCTCTGTTTTTATTCATATGAATTCTGATAATATTTATTTAAAGCACTCAGTAGCTCTACTGTCAGTCACCCTTAAAAACTAAGCATAAGGAATGATTTGTTCCAAACATCATATTTTGAGGTAGCCAGTCCAGTTTTCATCAAAAACTTTAAAATGTCCTTGCTACCTCCTGACTATAGTTTTTAGGTTTTTATGGGACTGTGTGATCCACTCAGGAAAAGTCTACTGATCATTAGACTGAACTGGTTTGTGATTCCCCTTTATTGCACATAAGATAAAGACTTGTTTTACGCAAAGCATGACATTCCCATTTGAACAGAAAAATTGTAAAAAGGTCTCACAGAAGTCATGCATGGGTGAATAATGCCTCATTTTTATTAACAAGACTGCTATGCTGAATGTTACTGTGTGTAATCTGTCTTTCTGCAAAGGCTTAGAAGGCAGAATAGATGTTATCTCAGCAAGTAGGAGTGCCAGGTCCTTTCACTGGGTGTTTTCAAGTGAGCTTTGAATCTCTGCAGGGAATGAAGGGCCATGTCTCACATAACCTGCCCCTGGTTACATGAGAGAGCCTCTATTGCCCATCACTGTGCTACATGGGCAGTCTTCAGGTGAAACCACACCGTAACAGGGTCAACATGCTGCAGAGGGGGACTTCAGTGCTGTATTTCAGCTTGTAAGTGTAAGCTGTTTCTTAAGTCTTTGTGCAGAGGTTATTCTTAGGAGAGCCTAAATTCTGACGCCAGAAGTATCTCTGTTATTAGCTTGGAACTGATAACAAAACCAATGATTTTCAAGCTGAGATTGCCTCTGACTTGTTTCCTTCCTCCATGTTTCTGCGTTTCCCATGTGCTGGCTGCTTCTTTGATCATGGTTAGGATTCATTTGTGATGTCACTGGGCAACTCTAAGAACTCTAAGAAGCAAAGCTTCCTTGTGACTCCCTTCCCTCTCGGTGCCTTTGACATTTTTTATTTAGTAGGCCAACTCCTGCTTAGATTACTCATGCCAGTAATCCCTGGGCTGGCAGTGGTATAATTAGAGAAAGCTGAGTTTGGCTTAACAGAGAGGTCAAACTTTCAGATACTGCTCAGCATCTACACTGAGCAGTGGGACTGTTTTCTGTTAGTATAGAGTCAATATTTTTTTAAACCTGAAGTTTCAAAATGCTAGTCAAATGTAGCCCCAAACCCTTCTGCCACTGAAGTCAGTTGCTTCATGATATTCATACTAGAAGGGTTGTACCAAAGGTGAATAGTTCTTATATTTCCATGTCTTAGTCCTTAATTCCATAGATACTTAGAGCATTGAATGTTTCCAGGCTGAGAATCAAAAGCTGTGAGCTGGGTAGTGAGGCTATCCCATTGTCTGACTTGTGAGTCACACAGTAACTTAAGCAAAAGAGAAACATAAAAAGCCCATGGGATCCTTGAGTTCTCTGGGAAGCCTCATTCCCTTCTCATAAAGCTGAAGTCTGCCACAGAGTCAGCAATGTGTTTACCTGTGGAAGGACAGTGGGAGGCTTTCCTATCCATATTACAGAATGTAATTTTTTGCCACATTTTCACTCTAATTTATAGCCTTGTCAGTCTCACCTATGGAGGAGTAAAGTTGATTTAGAGACAACATGGACAAATTAGTCTATCTCAGGGACTCAGTTTTGTGACAGAATGTTTCACATACTGAAATACCTAATTAAGAAACAGCGTGACCTTATTTTTATAAGCTGGTCTTCATCTTCTTTTCCTGTTCCATCACTCTCACTTTTTATATCTTGTTCTTCTGATTGTAATTTTTTTGTGTAGCAAAGAGTCTCTTGCTATACTTATGGAAAGTGCCTAAACTATTTTGGTATTTACATAATTCTGAAATTTTAGTTTTTGCAGATACCCTTAGAATAATGTCCACAGCTCAGACAAGAACTACTTAGAAAAAGTGGTAAAGCCTGAGCCATGCTGTACCATTGTCTGTTTGAAAGTCCTTTGAGGTCAGGAAAAAGTGGCACCTAGGTTAGTGGCAAGGTTTGTTATTAAGGTGGCCTTCTCAGAATGTATTTGTCCATCTTTTCAAATGTACCTTCTGAAAACTAGATGATCTGTGGCTGACTTTACATGGTGTCTGTACACATTGCCAAGGCTATGCTTACCCTAATAAACCACCTTTTGCATTAAAATAACAGGTGTGAATCATGTTACAGGATGACTGAATGTTTTCAAAGGATTAGTGTGGTCAGAACACAGGTGTAATAGACAAATGAGTATTTTCTTCCTGTGATTCTATTACATTGCAGGGTTCTTGTAAGTGTGCAACAGTTACCAATATATGTGTTCAGCTTTACACTTCAGAGTTGCAAGTGAGTATTTTAAGAGCAGCTGGTAATCACAACACACTTTGGGTATCAGAGTGAAGTACTTGTACAAGTGAGAGGGGCTCTTTCTGTAACTAGTAAGATTTTGTTAAATAGTGATGCTAACCCAGGTGTACCGTCCAGCTGGCTTTATGCATGACAAGACTATCAAGACTCTCTCTGTGTTATTTCAGAATCTGTTTTTTTTTTTTAGGTATGGTTCAGGACATTCAGATTTGCGAGCCTAAGTTCCCTGCATGTTCCCTTCTTTCCTCATGTAGACACTTGGATGCCATCTAAATTAAATGCCTAAAGTTGGTGTCACACATGTTCAAACAGACATAAGAAACCATGGTCCAGTTTTCTAGATTTACCAAGAAACTGAATCTCATTTCTTGGATTTTATCTTGGATGACACCGTGAGAAGTAGCTAGCCATCTACTAAGAGTTAAAATCTCCAGAGAGACTTTTGAGAACATTCTGCCCCTAAAAGGGGAGTTGGGAACTGAGTTCGGAGTATGGTGCTAACTGCCCTATTACTGTTCTGCTGCATAATTTGTCTGTTAGCTGAGGTCTGTGTCAGTTCCCACTTAGATCGATAAGCCTGCGATTCAGCAGAGTAGGAGTAAGCTCTAGAGGAGGAGTAACAACACTTTTCACCTCCCAGGGAGACTTAACTATGAATGAATAAAAGATTGTGAGCTATTTGTGGTGATAGAAACCATTGGTCTGTAAGGTAGACAGAGGATTGAAAAGTGATTCGGGAAGGAAAGAAGGAAAGTCTTTGTTTAGTCTGAAGTAAAAGTCTAGAGAGAGAATGTATGATTTGTGGATAGGCCAAATATTGAGCAATGCAAAGTATTCAGAATATTCCGGGCACCATGCTTACGGTCACTAAAGTACAATCCTAACTACAGAAGAGGAACTATCTATTTAATGGCTCATTAACAGTGTAAAACTTGTGAATGGGTAAACCGTTTACAGTTTCACATCCCGGTTGTATGTGATTACAGGTGACAATTAGGAAAGATTGGGTTATGAGTCCCGTGTGAATGGATGCAAGCTAGTATTCAGGCAGCTGATGGAAGTGGAAAGGTGTTCCCAGTCAGTAGCATGGTAATTGCAAAGGTTCCGAGTTCTCAGAGAGGAGTCAGCAGTTAGTTGAGCACAAGGACAGCAAGGGTCGAGGGCACAGTGGCAGAGACCCTGAAGACAAAGGGAATTATATGAAAAGGGAAAAGGAATATAGCATGGATTTGCTTTCATTCACCTTAGAGTTGTGAACACTGTTTCTGCAAAGGAAAAAAGCTGTAACGATAAGTAATTAAATCATCTGTCATTAGACCAAACTTCGCACATCAAAAATGGTGATCAGTCACCAGCTGCCTTTCCCAGCTGAAGGGAAGGTCCTGGTTGACTTGTCATACCATGCTGCATACTGATCTACCAGCCTCCGAGGCTTTGGCACATGTAGCCTTTTCTTTTGAAAATTGTCATGTGTGGCAGTTTTTACATGTACAGTATGATGTTTTCCCTCCCTGGGGCAGAAAACACAGGAGAGGGGAGAAGTTTGTGTTTCATTGCACCAGAAGAAATAAGACGGTATGTTGCCAGCTCCTTATTCACGTATAAAACTTCTGCTCCTTCCCTGCCTACTTCTCTGGTGCACCCATGGCACGGCTCTGTCCCCAGCTGAGGCTAACGTCCTCTCCCCCTCATCACCCCCAGGACAGCCATACTGCCCTTTCTGCTCCGTAGTGGACTCCCTGTCCCTAGCCAGATCTGTCTCCTTTTCCCTCACCCCTTTTGCAGGTAGGAAAGAGGAGGGGTTGGGCTCTGCTGGCACTCATGCCCGAGTTTTGCATGCAGACAGGACATTCTGGAGCTTTGTCAATAGCAGTGAGATGCTCTAGTTTAACAAGGTAGTAATATAAACTTGTAATGGCACTTTGATTCGTCACTGGGCTGCTACATGCCAGGTTCTGTACTCCCAGACTGGTGGATCAGAAAGCAGAGCGTTGCTGTGCTGCCCCTGCGGCCAGTCGAGATCCTGGAGCAAGGCAACCCGTGGGAGCCAACGGCCTGTGAACAGCACAGGAGCCGAGTTCAGCCAACAGGAAGAGAGTCCAGCTCTCTGGTGCAATTAAAAACTGTCACAAAATTCACTTCAAAATTCAGCAGGGGTATTTACATTTCCCCCATGATTGTGATTTTCTTTGGTTTCCATCTTTACTAGCAGAAGCCAGTACAGCTGACTTTGTATAAATGACTTTCAGCGTCGTTTAGGGTTTTGGAGCATTTTCCAGTCCTTCCCTGGTGAGATCTGCTTTGAGATGGAAGAATAGCACCCTCAAGAGTTGACAGCAGTGCTGCTTCAGCGATCCATAGCATGCAACAGACGTCCTTCCCCTTTTAGTTAAATTAACTCACTGGCACACGCAGCTGAAGCAATGAGACAGAAAATTTTCTTTTGCCATTACATTTGAAATATTTGGTATTGGTCACTGCTGATAGGAGTGAGGAAATCTGCATTTGTGTTTGTCTGAAGGAGGACCAGCTTCTGAACATTTTATTTGCCTTCAAGAAAGGAGAGACAATAAAAAGAATAAGAAATGTCTTATTTATCTAAATCTGGGAACTTCATTTTATACCATATTTAAAAAAAAAAAAAAAAAAGGAATTAATGTCTTTGTGTAAAAAGAGATTATTTAAAAGTTCTTAACTTAGATAAAAGGGGTCTACATAAAAAGTACTGAGCAAACCAGTCCTTAAACTGTGGGGACTTGTTCGTTAATTACAGTAATTAGGAATGGAATCTGATCCTAAACTTTCTGATTTACTTTGAATTTCTTTTAATATGTGGTTAGGCCTGAAATTCAGAATGATTATAAAATATGAGATCTTTTTAAGACTACAGAGGCGTAGGTATTGTTATTAAATGGCAAACTTAGTTACACGCTTCTGCTGTTTCACGCAGCACTGACCTTTTATTTTAAATGTGCCTGGCCTATTCCTGCAGAGCCTGCTGAGGCCTCCAGAAAGCTGGAAGTATGAGCTAGTCACCACTGCTGCTCCCAGTGACATTCCTCCCAGTAGGCAAAAAGTCAAGCTCTGGATTTGTCCCTTTTCTGTGAAGGGGTTTAATGGGGTAGCACCCGCAGAATTCAGCCAGCCAGATGCAGCTAGGGATGTGTCACTCCCCACGCTGAAGCATCCAAAACTTGTTTCTGTCACAGACTTGAGGCTTTTCCTCTGTATCGTGACTTTTCTCAGAGTTCTTACAGGTGTTTTGCTTGTTCAGACAGTGGCCTTTCTAGCCACTGCTTATGTGTTGAAATGTAATTTCAGAAGATACTCACCATATGTAAAATGAATTTAGGATTTTAATTGTTTTCTATTGTTGCTGAAAGGTATATTCTGTGGTCAGAAAGCCAGCTGACTGCTGCCTTCCTTCTGCTCATGAAACAGAGGGTCACAGGTGTACTGTGTGATACAAAAAAATGGGTTCTTGGTACATTGTAATGTTGTTTCCTGATTAAAATTTTGTCAATTACTGTTAGTTGTGAGGAATCTGTCAAACCCTTTCTGAGCAAGCAACTTGCTGTCACAAGTTTTTGGGTTATTAGGACACCTAGGACTAAAAAATACAGCATTTTTTTTTCCAGCCACCGCTACGTTTGAACTCTTCTCTGCAGATCTTCCTCTAGCAGTTACCTGCAGCTGCTCTAGCAGCCTTGACACATCTTTTCTCTCTGCCTCTTTCCAGGTGACCCGGACCACCAGAGCTAAGTGCCGGGGAGCTTCCCGACGCGAGGAGGTAGGCGAGGGAGCCCCGATACGCCTCGTCTGCGGGCTGCAGGATGGCGACGAGAGGAAATCCCGGGCATCCGCACCCCTGCCGAGCTGAGGCTGCACACCGGGCTCCTCGGAAGGCTGCGCCCAGGAGCAGGTAGGTCCGTGCGGCCCTGGACGGAGGGTGGGCGGCCGGGAGCCTCGGGGCGCCGCAGCCCGCCGGAGCATCGCCTGCTCCCGGGCCACCTGGCTGCTGCCGCCGCGCTGCGCCCCGGGTTTATCCCGGGTAAGCTCCGGGAGCCGTGCCGCGCTGCGCGCAGGCTGCAGCTACACGGAGCTGCTCCGTTCGCGCTGCGGGACCGGGAGTGGGACAGAGCCACGCGCCCACCCCGCATCGTGCCGGACTGCGGCCAGGGGCAGCCGCCGGAGCGGCCCCAGCGGCCCGGGTCGAGTCGTGCCGAGCCGAGCCGGGCAGCCCCCGCCGCCCCCCGCCCCGAGCGCTCCGCGGCCGGGTCCTAGCGCCGCTCGGGGCCGGGCTCTGCGGGTCCCCGCTTCTGCCGAGCCGGGCCGGGCCGGGCCGGGCCAGGCCAGCCGCGCTCCGCAGGTGCGGCAGGATGGGGCTCTCCGGGCACAGAGCCCCTCGGCTGGAAAAGCGCCGTCGGTCCTGCGGCAAACCCGGCGGGGCTCCCCTCCCGTCTCCCCCCGTCTGAACAAATATTTGCGAGCACTAGCGGGCTGTGCTGAACTTTGAGACTTTCCCCGCGGCGCCGCCGGTGGGAGGGCGCCGACCGGCCCCGGGCACGCAGGGGGCGACGGCCCCGCTCCCCGCACATCCCCGGGAGGCTTCGGGCAGCTCGGGACCCCCCCTGCCCCCGGGGGCGCAGCCCAGCGCCAGGAGCCCGCCGAGCTCGGGGCGGCTGCCGGGGGCGGGCGGCTGTGCCCGGCCGGGGCGCTAAGACCCGGCTGCGCGGTGGTCAAAGGTTCCCGGCAGGAGGTGGACACTAGAGGGCGATCCCCGGCCCTGCTGCGGGGGTGTATATATACGGCTCACAGGACGCAGGCAAGCCACTAGCAACAGGGCAGGCAGGCTGCGAGCGGGGCTCGGCCGGGCTGGGGCGGGGGACGGGCTCCGGGCGCGCCGAGCCGCGCCGTGCCGCGCCGCGCCGAGCTGAGCTGAGCTGAGTCGTGCCGAGCCGAGCCGTGCCGCTCGCCGCCGGGGGACCGCGGGGTGCCGCGGGCTTGGCAGAGCCGCCGCCGCCGCCCCGTCCGAAACCTGGATTGCAGGAGCCCTTCACCATGCCCGGCAGACTGTAGGTGCTTCATGGAGCAAGCCAACTTCTACGAGGTCGATTCCCGGCCCCCGATGAGCAGCGGCCAGCACCACCAGCTCCAGACTCCCCTGCCCGGCAGCGCCTACAGCTACAGAGAGGCTCCCTCGGCGGCGGCACCTGCTGCGGGCGGCGCGGAGCTCGGCGACATCTGCGAGAACGAGAACTCCATCGACATCAGCGCCTACATCGACCCCGCCGCCTTCAACGACGAGTTCCTGGCCGACCTCTTCCAGCACAGCAAGCAGCAGGAGAAAGCCAAGGCCATCCTGGCCGGGGATTTCGACTTCCACAGCATGCATGGGGCCGGCGCCGCCGCCTCGGCGCCGGGGCACCAGCAGCAGCACCACCAGCAGCCGCTCTTCGGCTGCATGGCCAGCTACATGGACGGCAAGCTCGACCCGCTCTACGAGCGCATCGCCGCGCCGGGCTTGCGGCCGCTGGTGATCAAGCAGGAGCCCCGCGAGGAGGAGGAGGTCAAGTCGGCGGCCCTGTCGGCCCTCTACCCCCACCACGCCGCGCAGCAGCACCCCTCCCACCTGCAGTACCAGATCGCCCACTGCGCCCAGACCACCATGCACCTCCAGCCCGGGCACCCCACGCCGCCCCCCACGCCCGTGCCCAGCCCGCACCACCCGCACCATCCGCACCCCCCGGGCGGCCTGCCCGCCGCCGGCGCGCTCAAGATGATGCCCGCGGACCACCGGAGCAAATCGAAAAAGACAGTGGACAAGAACAGCAACGAGTACCGGGTGCGCCGGGAGCGCAACAACATCGCGGTGCGCAAGAGCCGGGACAAGGCCAAGCAGCGCAACGTGGAAACGCAGCAGAAGGTGCTGGAGCTCACCACCGACAACGAGCGGCTGCGGAAGCGGGTGGAGCAGCTCACCCGGGAGCTGGAGACTCTGCGAGGCATCTTCAGGCAGCTGCCCGAGAGCTCCCTGGTGAAGGCCATGGGCAGCTGCGCCTAGCGCCGGGACTGCGGGGCGCCGCCGAGCTGCCACGCTCACCTACATATACATATATATATATATTATATATACTGGAGCGCAGCGATCTCAGATTGTTGGGGGGTTGTTTTTTTGTTTTTGTTCAGTTCTTTTTTTTTTCCTTTTTTTTTTTTTTTTTTGAACAATTAACGACCAATAAAAGAAGCCAGGCAGCTGTAGTATTAAAAGGGTTTGTGCCTTAGGGATGACACATGAATAAGCTGAAAACATGGTGGGTTTTATAAGGAGAGAGGCGAGGGGAAGAAAGAAATAAAAAGCCCACGTGTCTACACAGGGTAAATAACAATAATAATAATAGTAATAAAGCACATATAGCATCCCAGATGTGCCTTAAAAGCTGGCTGCAGGAGCTCTGGGGCTTTCCGTGCCCCAGCCTGGCAGGGTGCAAGGAAGCAGGGTGAGGGCCGGAGGGGCTGGCGCTGAGGAGGAGCAGGCAGCAGGGAGCACAGGCAGCAGGGCCCGACGCCTCTTGGAGCAGCAGGGGACAGCTGGGGGGCCCCATCCTGGCCCCAGTGCCTTCAGGCCACCCCGGGACCGATGGACACAGCCTGGACTGCCGGAGCAGCAGCTTGCGAGGGAGCACGGTGAGCTCCCTGTCTCAAAAGGAAGAGCGGCAGCGTTTTGTACTGTATGTCACGACATGGCGAAGCACAAGTGAATAAATACCTATCGATGCGGGTATTTACTATGAACTCTCAGTGTATTTTGCTTTATTCCAGGACATTCAGCTCTTCTCCAAGTCTCTGTCTGTCCAAGCTGTGCCTCATGTAATGTGAAAGCCTTTCCGTGTATACTAGCTACACTTTATTTTTATTGCATTACTTAGATCTTTGCCATCACATGACTTTCTTATCTGGTGACAGAGACTATGCCCTTGTGCTGCAACGTTATTTTATTATTTGTGTGGGTGGGTGAGTGCGAGTGTGCGCTGCGCTGCCTCCAGCGCGGGCCCGGGCCGGCCGCTGCCTCCCCGCCGCAGCACCTTTGGACTCCGGAGCTTATCCCCGGCAGAGAGCGGAAAAACAAACAAACAAACAAAAAAAAAAAAAACAACAACACACAAACAAACCAGCCCAAACAAACCCCCTTCGCCGGAGCGCTCGTAGCTGGAGCAGGGCAGCAAGTCGGCCCGGGGCCGGGGCAGCGGGAGGGCAGCGCCGGGGCGTGCGTGTGCGGGGGGCGTGTGCGCCGCGGGTGGGTACCCAGCGGTGGGGTTGGGGATTGTTGGGGGGGAGGGAGGGCTGCATATAAAGTTTGTTCGAAGTCCTGGTTACACTCATAAATAAACAGCATATATTCGACCATAACCGCCCGCCTCTCCGTGTGGTGCCACTTCTTCCCCGCGGGCTGAGCCGTGCCGGCCGGCTCCGCCAGCTGCCGGCTCTCCTGCCCCGAGCCACGGACACGCGGCCGCCTCCCGGGGCACGGCAGCTCCCCGCACGCCGCCGCTCGGTGCCGCGGAGCCGGCCGCATCGCTCGGGCCGGGACGGACAGGGCCCCGCAGCGCTCCCGGCTCCCGGCCCGGCCCGGCCGCTCTCCTCCCTTTCCCTCCCCTCCCCCGGGGAGTTTCGCCCCAGCCGGCCCGGGCCCACAGACACCGCTCCCGGGCGACCGCGGGGCCAGCCCCGGCCGCCGAGCACGGGCGGGCGGCACCGCCGCGGGTCCCCGCCCCGTTCCGCTCCGCTCCGCCTCGCCGCGGCTGGGTCCGGGGCCGGGCCGTGAGGGGAGGTGGCGGGAGGCCCGGCGGCGATAGGGCGCGAGGGCTCCGCCCCGGCGGCTGCCAGCGGCGGGGCCGGGCCGGGCCGCGGGGCCGCGCCGCCCGCGCCAGGCACCGGGTGTGGAGGGGGGGGAGGCCGCGAGGGGCGGCGGGCGGGAAGGAAAGGGGCGGCGTGCTCGCCGTGCTGGGCACCGAGAGTCGGGGGCTTGTCCCTGCCCTGCGGAGCCGGGACTCCGGGGTACGAAGGGAAGGAGAAGGGGAAGGGGAAGGGGAAGGGGAAGGTGAAGGGGAAGGGGAAAAGGAAAAGGAAAAGGAAAAGGAAAAGGAAAAGGAAAAGGAAAGAGGAAAGGGAAGGGGAAGAGAAGGCTCTGCGGAACACACCGTGGCAGTCCGTGAGGATGTATCAGAGGGACATGAATGTGGACCAGAATCAAGGATTTCACTTTCCAGTTAGATTCAAACCAAGGGATTGATAGCGTGTACTTTTCCAAGGGGAGAATCAAGTTCTACTTGCACTGGGCAAAACCAATGGTTTTTACTTGTGTTTCCTCCTTCCCCCACCCCTTCAGAGCTGGGCTCCCATCGCGAGTGATGCGCCTCCCTAAGTAATGCTGTCCAACGTGTAAAGTGGGGAAACGCTGTTATCATCTGAGCAAAGATTATTGCAGGGTATATGTGGGAGGGACTGTAATCTGGTGGTTAGAGCATGGGAATACAGTCCTGATCGTTTGAGTTATGTTCTGAACCGTGACTCACTCTGTGTGTGTGTGTGGTTTCAGCAAATCACTTACGGCCTCAGACAAAGCAGATTTTTCCATTAATTTAAATGAACTATAGATTAGGCAGGTCTTCAGCAGAAGAATCAACCATGTTGTGATTCAAAATTAAGATCACCTATCTACCACATAGGTGTTTCAATAGTTATATAAACATAGCGTGCCACGGAATATTAGGAAGAGTAAATTATTGATAGCAGAAAAGTGTTTAGAGATGCTTGCCTTAAACACAGTGCCAGAGTGAGCAACGTGCCCCAGTCCTAACCCAAACCATGGGCTGAGCCCCGACGAAAGGCTCTTGCAGCACGGTGCTCTCTGCAGCCTGG